GTTCCAGAGGAGCTTACAGGACCCTGATGATGGCAATAAGTTCCTCCAAAATGATGATATACAAGGGTACACAGTGTAATGTCCAAGAAGACAGCCATTTTATTCTCTTCTAGTCTACTTCTGTTTAGTATGTATGCATAAATTAACAATTATTTAAAAACAAAGCGCTCAGTATATTTGAAACTAAGAAGGCTGAAGTCAGTGAATGATTAGTATACTACATCATTAAGAACTTTGTGTTATAGGTCATGTAGTGTTATTAAGATAGAAAAATTTAAATCTAAGATGCTAAAATAGACTGAGCATGTGTGGTGAGATTTCAGGTTCTCAGGCAGTAAGTATGAAGATGATGATTTTCTGGGTTGTGCTGTATACTCTGTTAGAAGTTTTCCTACATGTGAGAGGTGCTTATTGCTCTGATGATGGAGGCAGCAAGCAACTATGAAATGTCAGTAAACCTTTACCAGACTACATGGCACAACAACTCAGAAGATAGTTGTCTTCATGTGGAAAACATATTGTCAGATGACACTTATTGCAGTGATTGTGGTAGATTTTATTTCAGTTACTAGGCACTAAAATGCTCAAGTAATTAAATTGTTACTTGTAAAATCCATCCTAGTGAATGGTCCTCTCACTACAAAGAATGCACAGAGGTTGTTGACCCTTCAGTCACTTCATGTTTACATGGTCAAATACATAATTGTTATGCTTGCACAATGTGTTCCAGTGCTTGACAACAGCCCCACAAGTACTTAAATGTATTAATTTTCATAGTGTGTCCAACTGTACGATTCTTTCCCTGGAAACTGAAAAAAAATACTTCAGACTCATTCTATGTTCAAGAACTTCAATAAAACAAGGGCATCTTTTATTTTAACTGTTACAGTAATAAAATATAATTCTTCAAAGATTGCTGTCTTCTGATTTGTTGTGCCTTATAGACATCTACCAGATTACACAGCGCAACAAATCAGAAGACAGCAATCTTCAGACTCACCGTCGTGAAACCTCAAATCCTACAACATTTCAGATGATTTGAAGAAAAAGTTCTCCACGTC